CGAAGCTCCTCCTTGGTTGCTGAGTTGATAGGAACCAGGAAACAATGGCAGTCCCTGCTGCTTTCGCTCTCCTCACTAGCGTGCTTTATTTATTTTATTTTACTTTATTTATTTATTTATTTTTGAGACGGAGTTTCACTCTTGTGGAGTGCAATGGCGCGATCTCGTCTCACCACAGCCTCCGCCTCTTGGGTTCAAGCGATTCTCCTGCCTCAGCCTCCCGAGTAGCTGGGATCACAGGCGTGTGCCACCATACCCGGCTAATTTTGTATTTTTAGTAGAGAAGGGATTTCTCCATGATGGCCAGGCTGGTCTCAAACTCCCGACCTCAGGTGATCTGCCTGCCTCGGCTCCCAAACTGTTGGGATTACAAGCGTGAGCGACCGTGCCCAGCTACATGCTTTATTATTAATGATGGATCTGGAACTGCCTGGATCTAACAGCCCAGCCGAGATCTGGCACAGAGGTGCTGGCCTCTCTGCCTCTCTCCTCTGGGGATTGAGCAGTGACTCAGATTCTCAGATATTTTTGGTGTCTTTGTAATTATGTGGCTGAAGAGTTGATCTGAGGCAGAGTTTATCTAAAACCAAAACTTTTGTGTCTCCAAAAGGACTAGAGAAGAGACTCAGTTCTGTTTTTATGGGATTGAGATCCACTTTCCTAGGCTTATCTCCACAAACCTATCTTTCCTACACTGTCTGCTTATCTGTGAGGCTGTCACTCCAGGTGGGATTCATACTGTGTTTTAAAATGGGAAAAACCAGTCTTATTTATTAAAAAAAAGAGCAAGCAGGATATTCTGTTATACTAGAAAGAGTGAAGTTAAGGGAAAAGTGACTACTATGTCATTTATGATTCTAGTCAAAAACTGAGCTGTATCACATACCATTGATTGTTCAGAGACGTGAGTTTATCTATGGGGGATACTTTCAGAAATCAGCTAAAATCAAGTCTACCAGTGAGAATTGATGGCATAACTGAGATGGTTTATAAAAACTATTGTTTATGAATCGTTTGTGTTCCTGTTAAAAAGATTTTATGTATATATTCTTAATTCTCACAACAGCTGTATGATAGGTAAGTGGTATTATTTCCAGTTAAAGAAATTGAGATTCAGTGAGGTTAGGTAATTTGTCTAAGTGTAAACTATGGGTGACAAACCTACATTCAAAGTCAGAACTGTGTGATTTCAACACTGACACTATATGCACCCTGAGACCGGCCTTCAGCCTGTGTGTCTGTGACGAGTTCCATGGTCCCAACCTGGAGCTGAACCGTGTGCCCCCTTGTCTGTGATGGTCCTGTAGTCTTAGAGTAGACAGAGGTGTCGTAGTGTCAGCTTCACGAAGGAAGTCCTGGAGCCCCAAGTTTCCTAGTCCTGGGTTTTGTGGTCCCAGCCTCCCCATAGTCAGGGGACATGGGGACCCTTGCTCAGACCTTGAGGGTGTGCCCTCCTTTGCTGGACCTTCAGATGTCCTTTGGTGTTTCTCACCAGGCTCTGCCACACCCTTGTTTGAGGGTAAGCTTTCCCTTCTCTCCCACAACTCGATGTAAGTGCTTTGTCAACATACTGACCAATGACCCTTTGGACAATGTTGTGCTCCCCATCAGTGCCTAGCATGGGGACGTACATAAAATGGATGTACTTTAAATAAGTCACATAGACTTTTCCAGTATTCTGGTCCATGGGTGTTTCAGAAATGTGTATTCAGAAGAGTTATCTGTACATAACCCCATCCCCATACGTGTGGGTTAATTTTCCTTCTTTCCTGAAAGTAGAAGTATCAATGCCGGTAAAACGAGGTGAGATGTATTACATTCATGGGGTTGTAGAGTAGCAGAGACACACATGTGATGTGGTCACATGTAGGCAAAGCCGTCCTCAGGACTTCTTTTCCTGCCGTTGCCACATACAGTGTTGGGCCCCGGTCCTGGCCTCTGGAGGACAGCCTGATTTGG